GATCCCGTCATGTCGTTGATTATTTTATCCCCCTCTTCACACTTCGTACCACCCCTACTCGGGTTCCACATTAGTTGGACGCTTTATAGCAAAAAAAAAGAAAAGAAAAGGCGAAATTGAGAAACCTAATTATCAGTACATTTATCTAATAAAGTTTTCTCTCACAGTACTGTTTAAATATATAGATAATGTTTTCCATAAAAATAATAAGTTGATGAATTCAACGCCAAACATGCACAATAATTGAATGTATAAAGACAAACGCAAGAATCAATAGGTAAAAACTCTATATGTTTTGATGCAACATGCTGCAATGACATCAGATTGAAAAGTGGGGAGTATGCCCCACTCCACTTTCTACGTTACTGCCTGTAAGTTACTTCAACGTTTCAAACATGCACAATAATGTAAAGTATAAAGATAAAAAACAAGAATCAAAAGCTAAAAAACTCTCTATATGTTTCGATAGTACATACTGCAATGACATCAGTTGAACATATGGAATGTATCCCTTTATTTCTTGGATTCCTTGGAAGTGGAGGTTCGTCTTTTTTCTATAAACTGATGGAAATAGTGATGATTGACATCAGGACATATAAACAACAACTGAAAACTCAGAACAGTAATTGTCAAAATGTTTACCTGGACAATCACTCCATCTACCCCTCCCTTCACTCCACTATTCTTCGACCTCAAGGGCTAATTATGTATATAAGGGTTAAATATTTACTACCCCCCCCCACTCCGACAGTGGCAAGTCTGAAGTCTTATAACGCTAAAAACCTAGTTTTGATACCTGTGGTGGGCAGATCACAGATAGTCCATTGTGTAGCTTTGCACTTAACAACAAACAAATTTTTTCTAAATATCGCAAGGTATATCTCAATAACAGTATTATCGAAACTCCCAAAATGCTGTTTTCAGTCTTATAGGAATCACAATACAAAACACTGAACACGTATGATGCCAGTAGCATTTTATCCCTTTTATTTCTTAATTTCAATATAATCTATGAACATTCTTTTTACTTTAGAACCCTGCTCATAAATTAGGATAGAATGTAGAAAAATGATTATAATAGGGTTACTAGATTTTCAAATAATAAAACTGGAATCATTCTTTTAGAGAAATTGATAAATAATCAATTATTTAAACTAGCAGAAACGCCTCCCTACGGCCAGCTGTTTGTACTAGTAAATATTAATCGTAGTATTCATATCTCATTGAATTTTTTTTTTACAAAAAGTGAACATTTTCTAAACAAAATATTTTTCTTGAAAGTTCTGCACGGGAAAGTGTTCGGATTGTGCTGATATAAACTGTAATGTTATTTATACATGTTAAAAGTGGAACCATTTATTGAAAAATAACATTATTTTACGAACTCCATTTTTTTAGTACTATATTTACAAATTACTTCAATAATGATATAATAAAACCCTCACGTACAGTCCTAGTGAAAGTTGTGTTCTTGTTGTGAGGAGAGTACTTTTATTTAAAACTGTGTTCTGTGATAAAAAAAAATGATTGTTACACATACCGTGGTTATTCTTCTGTGTGAACCTTGAATATTCAACGTGTGAAATTTTTTTAATGAATTTTTGTATGTCGAACCATTCAATAGATGGCGAAACATTGTAGTTATTATTCCGGACACGTACATATATATATATATATATACGCTACGTCCATTATAGTAAGATAATATGTGGACTTGCGTTACTACTGCTACACACGAAGTTTTTTTTAGTTACTTTCTTGTTGGCCAGGGATTTATTGTGAGCAACTGTTATTTAAATTAACTCTTCAGTTGCTTTAAAACACATACACACACACAAACCTCTACATCTTTAAAATCCAACGTCGGCTGTGAACAGAACTTGCCATTTGAATTCGACAGTATCTCTTTCAGTTGGCTGATGTGTCCCCAACGACTCAGCGATATGTCTACGGACCAATAACGCTAAAAACCGAGTTTCGATACTCGTGGTGGGCAGAGCATAGATAGCCCATCGTGTAGCTTTGTGATTAACTACAAACTAAACTTCGCGTGCTCAGTGACGTATGCAATAATAACATAATGTTACCTGCCGCCTACCTTATAGCCAGTTTACACTGATTCTATTTAAGCTGGAACTTAATTTGAATTATATTGACGTTTCTACTTCATACTAATCAACGTAACGTTACTCGTTTTGTTTCTTTACATGTCGAACAATATTTTAAAGCCCATACCATTTATCGAAGATATGGTAATAGTTAGCAGTTGCTTTTAATGAAATTAGTTTAACCTTTGTGTGTTAGACTTAATCTCGTCCACGTGTTAGTAAAATGATTATTAATGCAAATTATCTGTAATCTAGAAAAGCTCAGTTAATCTGTTTGGGTAACAAAAGCAAAACTGCAAAGTCCTACGGATGATTACACACTATATATATAGACACAAAAAGTGTGTAATCTTCTGTGTGTATATACACCGAGTGGTCACAAGTAAATAGACACCTAATATTTCGTCATTTAACTAATTTATGCTAACTAATTTGTGTTCACAGAGCACTAAATAAATGAAAATGGCCCGTACACTAATTATCTTGTGCTACAACATGCCTAGAACTCAAGGTTCTATCGAATTGTCAGATTTTGTTAGAGGAAGATAGTTGATCAAGCAGATGGTGGAATAAGTCAGCGGCAAATTTCGCAGAAATCCCTCTTTCGGCAGTCAACAGAATCATCGTGCAGTTCAGGAAACATGGCAAGGAAACAACTGAGCAGCGTCCGGGTCTTCCTGGTCCATCAGAGAGGACAAAAAAAGGGCTG